CTGTTTAAATTAAATTATTCTGGTTGGTTACTCTCAAACATTTTAACAAAATTGGAAACTGTTTAAATTAAATTATTCTGGTTGGTTACTTTCAAACATTTTAACAAAATTGGAAACTGTTTAAATTAAATTATTCTCGTTGGTTACTTTCAAACATTTTAACAAAATTGGAAACTGTTTAAATTAAATTATATACACCAAATGTTTTTTTGTTGTTTTTATTTTATCTTATTATTGTACAACAAAAGTGGGACTACTTTTGCTGTGCTAGAATGATTGCATATTCTGTGTTGGATATAGGCTTACTAACATACTTGTTTGTCACGGTATGACGACCATCAAGAACGATATTACTTTGAACATAATCGTCACGTATAGTCGCTTGCCAACTTTCACCTGTATTGCTTAGATGAGGATGATGATGTAAAGAGGAGCCCCGGTTTGTTACGCTTCCATGATAGAACTAATGTAGCGAGTATATCTTAACAACACAGAAAATGTACAAATGTCATCCATTAATGTTTGTAGAACTCTCCCTGGACTACTCAATGAAGAGAAAGCTACATTTTCGTAATTTCTCTAATGCGAGAAAAGCTAAAATGTCTATTCCTAAAGTATACATTAACCATGAAACAACTTATTGTTGCTTTTATATAAGATGAGCTGTGGTAGACTGAACAATAGAAAGTATCTCATGTTACTTGGTTAACAATAATATCGTAATGCACTTGATTAAAAATAACACTGAAGAAGAAAAATTCTCTAATTTTACTGAACTTTAAACAGTACTGCAACGCAACTTAATAGACTGAACAATAGAAAATACTGTCATGGGTCTTAACTAACAACAATTTTGTAATGCAATCAATTGATTGAAAAAAGAAAATCATCTCATAATTCACCTGGTACTCTGAAGAATGGTCTCTCTTATTACTTAGGAAATAATATTACATTACAACCGGTAGACTGAAGCATAGAAAACGCTCTCATGTTACTCGAATGGCAATAATATGCAACCTTTTTCATGTAGACAACGATCTTATAGTGTACTTATTCTTACGTTAACAGAAATAATTTTTGTATGTTAGACTTTCTACGAAAGCCTTTTCCTGTCATTCCTTTCTTTCACATAATTTGAAGAAAAGAGCAAATGAAATATGCTAAGTTTTCTATCACATCCTGTACAAATCTTTGAATATTTAAATCCAAAGGCGTTGTTGCCTTGCGACAGTCTTTTGCAGAATTCCAACGAATATCATGGTGTAATTAGACCGTTTGGCGTTCTTTAAACGTTTGATGATTAAACAGTGGTGGAGCCCCAAATTAGATGCGGCCCCATTATCCTGGATAGTTACACACTATACGAACATTATATATATTATAATATTAATTTTCTCATGTCAAATATCTCTTCAGTTTCGTGATGTCTCGCGACACGCTTCCGTGCACATCGCTTGTGAACCTGTGTAACAATTATCACACACAAACTAGTGGTTAAGGCTACGTATAATAGTAACTTATCGTGAGGTGGTGACGCTAAACATGTCTTTTCCGTATTTCCAGAGAATAAAATTATAGAGTAGACATGTTTCGAAGGTACTTAGTCTCTTCTACTTTCGCTGTTACATAATGTTGGATAAAATCACGCAGTGAGTGGATCTTAATGCGCAATAGTTGTGAGTTAATTTTCATAACAGAAGATAGTCAAACAAATAAGCAAGATGAAGTCGAGGAATAGTTTGATTCGTATACTTAAACACATTATGACAGACCTCAACAAACGTGGCGTGAGATCGGTGTCTTGGCTTTTAAAACTAAAGATTAAGGTATCATTAATGAAATAATCAATAAGGAAAAAAGTTTGTAAACATACTAGACATTTGTTTTTGGTTTTTTTAGGACAAAGCTAAACAACGGGCTACCTGAGCTCCGTACTCTGCGTTGTAAGTCCGTAAGCTTTCCGCCGACCCACCAGGGTACTATAAGACATTGGTTTATAACCAATAAATAGTATAACTTCTAAATAAAGTGTCATCTGTAAGTTGTTAACAAATTCGGTTGTTTGTGCTAGAAAGAAAACTCAACAGAACGTTGTTGGCGTAGCAATGGGTTGAGCGTGGCCTCATAGTTAACGTGTCGGACTGTAGACGAAGGGTCCGAGATTCGAGACATAATAACGTTAAATACGCTCCATATTTTCACTTTCGACGAATTATAAAAATGAGAGTATGTCCAATCATTTGGTTTACATGGATGAATAATGTGCTAATGTTTTTATTTCTGTAACAGCATAGTAAATAAAACAGCGGTTAGCACATATGACATTTATCGTCGTAATATTGCGAGGCTTCCTAGTGTCACAGTGATATGTCTACGGACTTGCAACGCTAGAAACTTGATTTCGATACCCGAGCACAGATAGCCCATTGTGTAGCTTTGTGCTTAACTACAAACAAACAAACAAAATATTGCGAATTCTAACGCCTCAACTACACTGTGGAACCGCAAAATCTGTGTGAGACTATTTATATCTATAGAAGTAAGCCTATTGCGAAGTTACGACCTTTTAAAGAAAGAATTACAGCTTGGCCACAAGCTGCACACCTATAAAACACGAGTAATCTCCATCCGCTCTATCAACATCAAGTACAATGTTTCTCTCGCTTTCGTAAATGATCTTTTATAGATACTGATCTACATGTCTTCAATAACAATTTTAACTGAAAGTCATTCGCTTTTCCCTTCGGTTAGACAGTTGGATGAAGCAACACTAAGTGCCAAAGCTTAACGTATCTTATACAAGTGATCAAAATATTAAGTTCATTAACAGAATAATCATCACATGACTCAGATTTACCAATCAGAAACCAAGACATGCAGAATAGTTACTCTCTAACAAACTGTAAGTTGCTATGGCTATGATAAGAAAACAAGCCAAGCATGTCCAAGACATGGACAAGTTGCACATTTTAGCCAAAATACTAAACACAAATTCAGAAAAGTTAAAAGGGGAACAAATGAAATCCGACATATTTTGTTCTGTAATCAATGACAATCAGTACTTCTGAGCCTGACGTGGACTGTTGATTAGCATGCCGGGTTGCGGATCAGAAGGTCCAAGGTTTGCGTCGCGATGTCGCTGAATTCCTCCGCACTTGCAGCTGTGGCCACGTTTAGAAAGTTATAGTCAATCCCAATATTCAGTTTAAAGAGCTGTACAGAGTTTATGTGGCGGCAGATGTTATTTGCTGGTTGTCTTCCCTCTGGTCAGTAGTTGAAGTTATAATAAAGGACAGATATGCTTGAGCCTAAGGGTCCCTCGCCTGAGTGTCTAGTCCATGTGATGATCAGGTGCTGACTGTCTAGTCCATGTGATGATAAGGTGCTGACTGTCTAGTCCATGTGATGATCAGGTGCTGACTGTCTAGTCCATGTGATGATAAGGTGCTGACTGTCTAGTCCATGTGATGATAAGGTGCCGTTAAAGTTTACAATTCCAATTTAATTGATACCCGTAAGAATAATCTATAATTAGAATTTACGAAGAAAATGATTAAATTTGAAATCATATTTCACAGAAGAATTTATTAACTGAATAATATTTCATTATAGTAGATATTATGAGCATAGTGTTACCTGACATATGTGTTTTTACTTTGTCTCTAGTTATGCAGCAAGATTTTACTATCAAATATGCATCGAGACAAAAATGGATGATTTTTACCAGCATTTCTATTAATTTATTTCTATTTTTACGAATCAATGCAATTCTTTTCAACTGTCTAGTCACTTTTTCAATTGAAAGGTCGCATTTACAAACGACTATGCAACTTCTTCAAGAGGGATAGGTGAATTTTAAGCATTGCAATAGAAGAAGAAGATTGGAAAACTTCAGTA